GTTTATATACCATACAAACAAATTATCATAAGCTATATCCACCCAGTAGGATGCAATCATCAAAATATAGATAAGAATAAATATAGAATAAAAAATAATTAGTGTTGTATCTATTGATTATAAAAATAATTAATATTATGTCTATTGATTATATTATAGAAATTATACTGTTGCTAAATCAATTATAACATTATTAACAACATTTTTTGTCTTTTTATAAGCCCAACTAAACCACCAGTTATTATTAATTAATAAACACATTTGATCTTGAGCTTTTTTTCCCATTCTATAGCATTTTGATAATATGAGATTTTCATTTTTAAGTTTTCAAGCTGTACTGAATTCAATTCCAATGATGTATCACCAAACTCTACCATTTGATTTTCCTGTGAATTTGTTATATTATTCTTCTTTGATTGTTGTTTATTCTGTTTTAATTGCTTGATCTGTTGATGAGAGGATTCCTTATTCTTTAATTAAATTGCACTATTTTTAAAATATAATATGCTTATCTGTTATTCTTATTTTTTAATTAAATTGCAATGTTTTAAAATATAATATAAAATTACAATTGCCTGCATAATTATATGTTAACTGGACTTTGATCACAAATATTTTGTTCTGCATAATTACATCATTTATTTCCTAAATAGTATCATTCTTTAAATCACATGATATTAGAATTAATTCTTATTGGATTAACTATTGTAATTATTTCTCATTATTATTATTTCTCATTATCATCATAATTATCATCATTATTATTACCGTCATCTAGTATACCTAATATATCATCTATATCATAATCATAATCACCTTCCCCAGCTCTCTTGTTATTACTACTATCATCAACTTTATCATCTTCTGCATTATTTTCATCTGAATCATCCAATATATCTCTTAGAATATTGCCGATTTTACTAGTAATTGAATCATGCGATAAATTAACAAATTGATCAATCCATAGACTTTTGATTACTACATGGCAATTGTCTTTGGTATTATTTTACCACTTGTAGTTAATCTCTGAGTAGAAGCTTGCTCCTCATTATATTTCTCATCGTCATCTTCTGCAAAAGTTTCTGCAATACGTATATTAATGTCATCATCACTAATAAGACGAGTATTCTTTTTTTGATCAATTCCAGTTCAGTTTTTGAATTAAATTTCCATTATAAAATTAATTTGCATATGGATTCTAGTTTATTCACATTAAGATTTAAGCGACATTTATGAAATAGCCATTCTAAAATCAAAAATCCATGTTCACAAGTTGTTGAGTTAAAACATATTGCAAATAGATAACTTGCAATTCTTCGTTGGCAGAACATCTGGTTCTGGTTCAGTATTAATATATTTTTACCAATTTATGGGATTATCTTTAGCAAAACCAATATCTAGGTCAAATGGCTCTTGCTCATTAATATATTTCTGTATTTGATCACATCATCAGTAAGTTTTAAACAGGCATATAAAGTGTTGAAAAATGCTATGTGTTACTTAACGCCAAAAAATGTAGGGAAACGAACCCTTTGTAAATCAACACTACTTGAAAATATTTAAAAACGCGTAAAACAACACCAATTTAAATGTAAAGCTACACATAGTAAAACAACGATAGTTTAAAAACGTGTATACAATGTATAAAAATGCGTATATTGATATTAAAAACGTGTATAGCAACAGTATTTTTTAGTCATCATACGATAGTTAACTTTATAATTGTAGTATTAGTAATTTAGGGCAGTGACATTTATTATGTAATATCCATTTACTATAAGCCCATACTTCCCCACCCCATGTAATATGAAAAATCTTACGTTACACTTATATGTTATATGACCTTTAAATACCCTCCCACCCCTAAAATATTACGTAATAAATGTCACTGCCCTTATTAACATATATTATATTATTGCTGTCTCTTATACACATCTAGATGTGTATAAGAGACAGGGGATATGCAATAAATTATTAATCATAATTTTTTTTGAGCTTATTAAAAAATTTAAATTAAATATTAAAACTAATTCGGGAGGGTAATATATATAATATTTTTTTGATTTTAGAAATTGTTTTTTTTTTTTTAAATCCCTTTTCCGACCTGGCCTTTCTATCTAAAATAATGTAATATAAAAAACGAAATGAAAATGTTCGAAAATTTTTGATGCTTTTTTTTAAAAAAAAAAATTCCCATATCGTCCCAGCAATATGGATTTAAAGAAAAAACGATTTTTTTTTTCTTTTCGTGAAATATGTATTTTTATTTTTTAGTAATTGAATTCGTGAAACGTTGGTTGTTGATTTTTTTTTTCAAGCCATTCTCAAGGTGGAAGCAAAATATAAATCACGTTCGTTAGGTAATGTCAATGGAGCTTCAACAGGGGAAGGATAGCCGAACTTTTTGTAAGGATCATTTTTATTTTCTTTAATGACTGGTTTAAAAGCGGTAATTCGGGTACTAGACGTTAAACTAGATTCCATTGGTTGATATAAACAACTAATAGCTGGAAGTACATATCCTGATGTATTATGATGTTGATAATGGTAATCCGTATGGTAATCCGTATGAGGCTTAAAACAGTCAGTAGGAGTTGGAGGACTTGGTGGTCCATAGACACTCATTTGGGAATTGCAACCATTAGAAATAATTTCGGATGAATTCGGTTGTTTACGTGGTTCAAAAGCTCTAAATACGTAAATACAATGGTGATCCAATCAAAAAAGTTGGAATAAAAAAAAAAATAGTTTCAAAGATAATATGCGGTGTCACCAAAAACAATGGCAAAAGAATAATAAGGGAGAAAAATAAAATAAAATAAAATAGGTTACAACATATTCATTCGTTACAATAAATAAAATTTTTCATTCAAGAATAAATATTACATACGTATTATACTCCTTCCAGTGAGGATCATGAGATCTTTGGTGTCTAGTAAGAGTAGTACGTCTTGTAAAGGTTTTTCCGCATCCTGAATGTGAACAAACATAAGGTCTTTTCCCGGTATGAGTTCTTCTATGTCTAGCTAATGATGAAGACTAAAGATTGATGATGAATTTATAAATTGAAATTGGTCAATGAATGAAAAAAAAAAAGAAAAAAAGTAGTGAAATAAATGAATGATGAATGTATATACATATACATACATACATATATATATATATATATTATATATTATATATTATATATTATATATTATTTATATAATATTTATATGTTTATATATAATATATTTAATATGTATATATATGGTTTTATTTAAAACTTACGTCACTAAATGACTTGCTACAGTTGGGGTATTCGCAGATGTGAGGTCGTTCACCAGTGTGAGTTCGGTAATGAACTGTTAAAGCAGAACGTTGTATAAATTGTTTACCACAACCTTGCCATTCACATCGATAAGGACGTTCTCCGGTATGTATTCGTCGATGTCGGGCAAGATCTGATCTACGTGAAAAAGCTTTCCCACAAGCATTCCAAGAACATTCATATGGACGGTCATTGTCTACGATCGGTTCCGAATCAGTATTTGATTCGCTCGTAATGCTTGGAGTTGGACTAGTAGGCCCACGAAATTCATCATTGGTATTTAAAAGTGTTTTGATATCCATGAAGAAAGTTTTTGGTAATTGAATGTTCGTGTAATTTAAATGAAAAATTTTTTTTTTTTTATTTTTTTAATAAAAAAAAAACAAACCAAACGTAAAATCGGATTTATACTTGTGTGTGAAAGATAACAGTATCGATTATTGGTTGTAGAAATTTTAGGGAAGAGTAGAAAGATGATAGAATATTAGAGGCGTTAAAAAAAAAGGAAAGGTATTAAAAGTGAGATAATTTTTTTTTTAAAAAGGGAGGAAAAAAAATTAAAACCAAACGTCTTGTCTACAAATATATGCAAACGTTTAAAGAAACAATAATGAAACAAAAACGTCAACGATGAACAATCAAAGTTACAAAGTTAAAAAATATAGATGTAGATGTATGATGGTTAAAAGTAAAGGAACTTTGAGGTCGTTAACGTTACTGTTTAGCACACACAAGAAGCGATGAACGAGAGAGAACTGAACAGTAAAATCAACGAAGAAAGTCATAAAAAAAATTATTCCAGGGATTATATATCAAAAAAAAAAAAAAAAAAAAATTTTTTTTTTTT